TGAGTAATCTTACTATTTACCCGACAGGTAAAATTTACTAAAAGGTGGAACAACTGGGCCTAAATGTAGTATATGACTTCTTTTACATTGTTAAATCGATTGGTACGCGTATCAAGTTGGTGCGGACCAAAGACAGAGGCCGGTATTCATAGTCGGATCTTATATTTAAGACAGCTTTAAGTAAGTCTTAAGATGTCATGAACCAATCAGAAGATCGCATTAGCGACTTAAGACATTACTTAAGACGGTCTAAAGGCCATTCTACATTGGTCGTATCGTACGGGATGATCCCGATTGACCACGTCTCGATTAGACACCACCAATCACAGCGACCGGTGCTTAGGAGCTTTGTAGTCTCAAGCGCTGTGAGTGGCTCGTGTCCAACAGGGTGCCACCTCTTACGGCGCTTCCAACGCTACGATACGACCAATGTAGAATGACCTTAAAGGCTATTCTAATCTAACTATAGAGGAAATAGAAAAATATTCCAATTAAATGATATATATATATATATATTTAAATAAGAAATATGTATAATATATTTTCGATAACTATATATATAAAAATCTACAAATGGAATCAATTTTTATATTACAATGTCTTGATGATAATATTCAATAAAAGATATATTAAAAATATGTTATATCATACACACACACACAACGTGTGATACAATTTTCATTTAATATATTAATATTTAGGAAACTTTTGATCAATCTTATTACTCCAAGCATGGATACCTCCAATTATGTCTCTTATTTTCAAAGTATCTTCGATAAATATCTCTTTCAAATATTGAACAGCCTTTTGTGAATCATTTCCACGTCTACACATAAGATATACTGCAAGAGTAAATACAGTCTAAGATTAATTCTATCAATCGTATAAAAAATAATCTAACAAAAAATTGTATACAGAGATATAAAATATATCTTACAATCCACTGAATGATGCTCTTTTTGCACCTTCTTTATATTGTCCTTTATTAGCTTTAAATTATGATCCTTGCTAAGCTGTGTGAAAGGAATATTAATGGAATCCTGTAAGTGGCAGATTTGAAATTCTTCAGATGAACGTACATCAATCATTATGCGAGATTTTGATTCCATTTTCATAATCTCATTATATTCTTCAACTGATATTCTTTCTTCTTTTTTTAATAAATTTAAATTGGGATCTTTATCATTAGCTTTTGCACCACAAAATTTTTCATAGTCTATTAACTCATGTATAACGCGATGTTCCCCGCAAACTGCACAGTTTGTATTTTTTGGACGTAAGCGTACATTGTGGAATTTAGTTTCTGTGCCATCAAATAATAAAAGTCGTCCTGAAGTTACGTCAGACATATTAAGTATTATTTTTAATGTCTCCAATGCTTGCAACACACCAATTGTTCCTACAGCTAGCATTCATCATGAAAAATAAAAATACTAATATTTAATTGTAAATTATGAAACATATGTATATAAAACTTAGTAAAAAATAGAAAAGTTTACCTGCACCAAAAACACCACCATCTCCACAGTTTGTTACAGTTTCTGGTGGTGGTGGTTCAGGAAATATACATCTATAGCAAGGACCATTGTAATTAAATACTGATAAATTCCCTTCAAATCTCAATGCTGATCCAGAAACTAATGGTTTACCACTCAAAACACATGCGTCATTCAACAAATAACGCGTAGCTACATTATCTGTAGCATCTATTACAATATCATAATTTGTTATGATATCCAAAGCATTTTTACTATCTAATTGAATCTTATATGGAATGACCTTTACGTAACTATTTAGCCTGCGAGAACAAGAATACAAAATGAATAAATTTTTTTAATGTGAATTAAAAAATAAGAAAAGACTATTACATGCAAAAAATTAATTATCTCTGCAAAAACAATTTTCATCTAATTTCAATCAATATACAATTAATTCATAATGCTGTTATACCGATTAAGACTTTCTGCTGCTGCGATTACTTTAGCGGTACCTACGCTTGTTTCTGTATATAATAACTGTCTATGAAGATTATTTATTTCAACATTATCATAATCTACTATGCCAATGCAACCAACGCCAGCACAAGTTAAATACAATGCTGAAGGACAACCGAGACCACCAGCTCCTACAATAAGTACGGAACTATCCTTTATCTTCTTTTGACCTAAAAAAATGAGAATCTATCAAAAAAATTATGTATTATCTCTTTTTATAAATTATATATATATATATATATAATTTACACATAAGAGAGTTTATGACTTGTCACAAAAGATGTAGTAAAATAATATTTTATTAAGAAATTTATTATACTTTTCTTTATGTATGTTATAAGCAGTCTTAAGGCATACCTTTCACACCAACTTCTTTCAAAAAGAGCTGTCGGCTGTATCTACAAATTTCGTCGTTATTTAAACCATATTCTTGAGCAATTTGTTTTTCATGTCGCAAATGAGTTAATTTAGCCTCTTTCGTACGTAACAATTCACGTAATTCGGTAATTTCTGCTACTAATTCGTCCTCACTTATATCTATCGATATATTATCCATTGTGTGTGATGATTCAAAATTTTACCTTTTTACTTTTTTTAATTCCTTGAACTCGGTTATACAAAAGAATAGATGATAATAATTATCGATGTAAAATTAAAAATATCAATAATAATTTTGAATATTTAATATAAAAATAATATTTAAAATAAAAAAAATCTTAGACTGGAATAAAAATGTACGTAATATGTAGGCCCGATTCATCTACATACTCAATCGTAAAAAAGAATTATTTATATCAAGTTAACTGTTAAAAGTAACATTTTTTGAGGTTAGGAAATCTGTCTTATCACGTGCATAATACATAATGAAGTGCGTTCCGTATCGCGCATGTGACTACAAAGTACAAAGCTCCTAAGCACCGGTCGCTGTGATTGGTGGTGTCCAATCGAGCCGTGATCAATCGGGATCACTCCAAATAAAGGACTCTGATGAAGACGCATGTAAATATGATTGGATAATTTTCTTTATGCATCTATTTATGCGTCTAGAGAGAAGCCAGCGGGGAGCACAGACTCTTGCATAACGCATAAAACATAAAACATAAGAAAATCAACCAATCAGTCCTTTATTTCATGAAAAGGAAGGAGATAAAGGTTTTTGATTGGTTGATTTTCTTATGCTTTATGTTTTATGCGTAACCCCGGATCTACAATAGGTGTTTTAAGCCTTAAGCCGTAAGTCCGGATCTACAATAGGTGTTTTATGTCTTATGCCGTAAGAAACTGACCAATTACAGTCGAATCCGAGAAGAATAAGTGACTGTGATTCGCCCATTTCTTATGGCTTAAGGCTTAAAACCCTATTGTAGATCCGGGGTAAGAAATTGACCAATTACAGTCGAATCCGAGAAGAATAAACGACTATGATTCGCCCATTTCTTATGGCTTAAGGCTTAAAACTCTATTGTAGATCCGGACTTATGCAAGAGGCTGTGCCTCCCCGCTGGCTTCTCTCTAGACGCATAAACATATGCATAAAGAAAATTATCCAATCATATTTACATGCGTCTTCATGAGAGAAATGCGATTGGATAATTTTCTTTTTATAATTTTATGCAAGTGTGTGAATATATCCTAAAGCCAGATGTCCACGATGCTAGAAATCGATCCAAGATCTTGGACAAAAAAAAAATTAACAAATTATATTTAAACAATTTAGGCTGCTTTCCTTTTAGGAGACACAGTCGACACACTTGACACAAATCGACACACGTCGCTTTCCATTTACAATTTTGTTCAAACTCAATCGACACACTTCGCCTCTGCTCGGGAGCAGAGTCAGAGTGTGTTTCGAGTCTGTTCAAGTGTAATTTTGATGAATTAA